AGCAGCAGGAAAAATAAACCATTTATGTGGATTTTGTTTTGTTTCGAATATGAAATATATAGTCTAGTACACACAGGTTTCAGCATTAATAGGAATATGTATACATTTTTGGATCACCCTGTGTGTTCAAACTGACGGGGTTAGTCAATAACAGTTACTTCAGCTGCACAATGGTGGTCGATTTGTTCTTTATCCAGGGTTTGACAATAAGCACAACAACAAGACAGTTGCGGTCAGCTGATTTAATTTTAGTCCCCTCCAACTCTGCGAGGATGTCTTACGTACGGTTTGACGTCAAAGCCGCGGTGTGTCCGCGGCCATTCATAATCTTCTCCCATGATCTGTGACGCACATTTGCGATCAATATGGGCAGTGTAGATCTTGTAGGAGGTTTCCGAGCTCGAATCGGAAAAGGGAGAAGGAGCAGGAGAAGAAGAACCGGAGAAGGAAGACGAGGCCTCAGCCTGAACTATCTCACTCTCCACTGGTTGCCGCGACTTTGAACATCTGCAAGGACGCCTAAACGACGGGGAACGTCGAATAGGTCCAGCTTGAATTCTTTCTGAGTGCTTACAAGTGCATTTGGGCTTTGTTTGGGTCGTTTTTGAGGGTTGCAGTGGCTGCGTGAACGGAATAGGTTGGGGTTTTCTATGAACCGGGCTTTTGTCGGCTTTCAGGCATGACGACTTCTGGCGGTGGTGGCTGTGACACACGGGATCTGTCTGGACTGCAACGAATATTGTAGCCTTAGCAGGCTGGACGTCATTTGGACCGACATTTATTCCGTTTGCCTTGGCGTTTTTTGCGTGGTGAGAGCACGGACACAAAAAAGGTGACGTTTGCACTTCTTGAGTGCGAGAACGGCGATTACATCCACAATGGCACTTATGCTTGCATGGAGGCCGATTTTCTTTGGGGCAACAGTTAGTGACATAGGTTGTTGTCAGTGTAGGCTCCGAAGACTTCTTAGTCGGTCGTGAATAATGGTTGGCAGGTGGCTTTTGAAGCACAATTGGTTTCCTCGCTGGTGACGGCGATCGCTGACTATCGTCACTGTTTTCAGAAGCTGGTTCTGCTGGCTCAAATAGCACTCGACTATTGTAACGTTTCACAAGCCTCTTAAATGTAGCGATTTGCTTTGGTTTTTCAAATCGGAAAACCAGATATTGTCCTTGGGCACGCTTTTTGGAGAGAATGAAACAGACATCAGGATAATCCGGCAGGACCACAAACTGCACTATGTTTTCATAGTCGATGTCGGGCAACTTCATCTCATTTCTGGTGAGTTCGAAGTGTATGCAGTCGGAGTAGATGCGCGCCTCATTTTTGCTTCCTGCGTTTGCCTTCTTTCCACCTTTACTAGCTATTATCGCTAAAATCTGCTCCGCAGTAAAGGCCCCACGATCGAGCAGATGGTTCTTGTCTAGACCGATCACTGTTGTCACAAGTTCCGGCTGCTCCCCATCGGACTCACTGGTGCTCATTGTATACCCGTGAGAAAAAAACTGACTGACGATGAGAGATAATTAGGTTCAGACCATTGA